ATAATCTGCGGGAACTGGCCATGCTTGCCTGGAAGACTTTTTTCATTATCTGGGAACAGTCACAGTGCAATGCCAGATGCTTGTAGTTTCCATCACACAAATTATATTTCCGGTGTTAAAATCTCTTCAGCATTAATCTTTTGCAGTACCCTTTTAATTATCCTATCAAAATTAATTTGTACTTTGCTTCAAGGATGACAAAACCCCACATAAGTGCTAAGCATATTTGGCTATATTGTTTCACACCATAACGGTTGTGTATGGTGTTTACTCTTTCCTCAGTAGAATACACTTAACCACCTATATCAATTAAACACAAAATTCAAACATCACATTTTCATCATGTAAATAAGTCCCCATTTTAAATAACTAAAAATAAAGACGTGTGGGTTTTGTCTGAGAAAGGAAATTTCGCCAAATGCCTTCTTCTGTTCTTTCTTTTGTATTAAAAAAGCACAGTGCTTCTGCAGCATACTGCAAGCTTTAAAGGAAACTAGCTATAAAACACTGGGAGCCAAATCAAGACTTTAGAGCAAACAATATCTTGCAGCACAACTGTTTCTTTAAATGACAAGACGTTCTCTCTTTTTTTTTTTTTTCCTGATTTGTACATTTTAATAATATATGGCACTGGGTCTGGCTCCAGTTTCTATTTTCATATACTTTTAATGCTGCTAAGATACTAAGACGCATTTTTCTGAAGTCTAATTTCTTCCCTTGTGGAAAAACTCCATATGCAAGCCACAGGCTGGGATCCCAGATCATACACACCAACTCAGTTAAAGATGTGTTTATAATTTTTAATACATGAGGCACATCACTGCTTTAGTTTGTAATATCCTATTAGGAATAAAAGTTTTATACATATGGCAAGCACTTATATCTATGATACAGATGGCAAGCACTTTGATACATATGGCAAGCAATAAGTTAATCTCCTGTCAAAGGAGCAGCAAGACAACTCCACGTCACCAGGCAAGGATTTGACCCTTTCTGTACGAATATCTGTGGAAACCCCAGAAATTTTACACAGCTTTCAGTGGAAAAGCACAGACCCATAATGTAGTATAGACCAACTGCTTTAAATTTGATTCCTGCTCCAGTGGGACAGGCAGCATGCTTAGGGAAAGCCCAGGCTCTCCCACCCCAGCACCCCACAGGCTGGATACACACCATTTCTTGTCCAGAGCCATTGATTTGCACCTGGGACGTGTGCTTGAAATTACATACCTGGCTCTTGCTGCATGTACCGTGGACTCTGATTCTCACTGACTCCAGTTAGATTCAGCTTTCCCAGGGCAGCCCATGGAGTCTATGGGCCAGGTGCTTCTAGTGCGGCCCAAGAACTCAGCCTCCTGCTCTGCTATGGGTCCCAATCTCCTGAGAGTCCAGGCTATACACAGGTGCTTCATCAGTCTTTCCTGTTAGTTTCTGCTCCTCTTTCACAGTGGACCAGCAAGTTGTTGTTAAGATGAAGTCAAGGAACAGGTCTGAGCACTGACAGTGCCAAGAACTGTCCCAGGAGAGGTCCTGTCCTCCTGCCCTTGTCCCGGTCTCCTTTTCCCATCCACAAACCCACCAGTATAATGGCAGCCTGCACCATTTCTGCTTCCTCCAAATAATGCTGTGCTCAGCTATGGTGTGTAGACTCTCTCCAGTTAATAGTACGACACTGAATATTTGAAACTGCTCTGGAAAACTGGTGTATAAAAATAAATGGATAAATTTGGTAGTAGCACAGTACATTAGTGCATTGGATGTAAACAGGCAGAGCCTGTTAGTGGGATTAATACTTTATGGAAAGGTTTAGGACTGTACAAGCTACTATTCTTGATCAAGGCAAAAATATCAGCTCTGTCAAGGAAGAAACAGAAACCTTTGCATCAGGCAAGAACAAGCCAACCCATTGCCATGGGATGTTTTCTTGTAACCTTGAGAGGCGAGAGGATGGCTTGCTGCCTCCAGCCAGCCATCCTGCCTCTGCAGGATGTGGGGTGCAGGTGCCAGCCACCCTGCACCCCACAGAGGCAGATTTGTTTCAAGCTTGGAGATATTTTTAAGTATTCCCTTGTGCCATGAGTCCTAGAGTGCAAGGTCCAGCATACAAAAAAAACATTCATAAATGACACCAATTCTGCAAGATGTATTGCCTCCAGGAAGTTTTATTTCCTGAATATATGGGGATATAATTAGGTGTCCACATTCTTTGTGGTATTTTTTGCTGTTACGTTTCATCCCATTACGATAAATAACCTCTAAACTTTCCTTGACTATGTGAAATTAATTTGGTTTTAAAAGCTGGTAAAGTTTCCTGACATTTATATATTTTGTTTATTGCTTAGCAGCAGGAATTCTGTGTTACTGTGAAGGAGGGGAGGCAAGGGAAATATTTGTTCCTGACTTAGTCTGGATCCATGATTTATATACTCCTTCATGCTAGAAACATTATTTCTGTGACTGCTCTCATTATTTTATGTGCTGTTCCTCACTTTGCAACTTTTGACCACAGAGTCATCCTTTGCTGTTGGTGCTGCTACAGGACAGAAACACTGAAGCATTTGGAGGAGCCCAAATTTGAAATCTGACCTGTTTGTGCAACCACAGCAGCACAAGGAAAGGAACAACTGGGATACTCTGTAGCTTTCCACACCCATGCTCTGGCTTTGTTGTAAGCACAGAGCCATTACCGCATCCTGGTGATCTCAGCCAGCAAACAGTCCACAGGTAAAGGTCCCACCTTTTCTTTGACAGGAATATTCCAGTATTAAACTCCACAGTACAACATCAGCTACCAGAGGGCTCACTGTGACTCCTGGTCCATAGCTGCAGAAGGGCGTAACATTATGTAACAGCAGTTAGTGGATTTATATAACTTCTCTTGTAAGGCTGGAAAATGCATCCAATGTTCATCTAAAAATGCTATAAAAAATCTACATCATAGAGCTCTGGAAATCATAATTTTAAGAACTACCTCAATGAAAATCTGTTACTTCAGCACAGGAAGGCTGTGGGTGGACTGTGGAATAACAATTTTCAAGCTTGAAGACGTCAGCATCTTTTCTAAACAAAAATTAGCATCACCACTGACCAGAGCAGGGCACCATCCAGCCATACTCCAAACAGACCTTTGGGCCTGCTTCCCATCACCTTTTTTCTGCATTTGTGGGATTGATGAAAAAATGAATTTCCCGAGGCTTTTGTTTCAGTGGAATTGTTTTCACATCTTTTGACATTCCAAATTTTCAACATCTTTAAGAAAAATGTAAGTACCTGAGCAAAACCAGTAGGTCCTGTGGACAGCTTCCACTGCTGGCCAGGTATCTTGGTGGGGCTGAAGACTCACTGTTGCCACTGGCCAATTGAGCATAATTCTGTTTTAGTAAACTGGGAAAGCCTCCACTGAGGATAGCCACAGAGGATACAGCCTATCGGCACATGCTCCAGTTAAAAGATACAGATGGCCCGTTCTGCAACAGAGAAGGCAAGCAGGCCTCAGTCACAGCAACCACCAAGATCCTGCTGAATGAGGAAAGCCAGCTGTCAGACTCTGACCTTCACCAACCTGAGTCTACACTCTCCTGGGGACTGTATTTGTGTTTGATTCTAACATGCCCCAATCAGCTGGTTCTTGTTACCAGTTTCTTCTGAGGTCTGTTCAAGTCCATTCAATCTGCCAGGTCCCTGCAGAGTACCCCTGTGCAGCAGAAGCTACCAGAACTTTTGTAATACTAATTTTTTGTTGCTTTGGAATTTGTGAATAGAGGATGATGTCAGTGGATGCTGCCTCTGAAATCAGGTAAGGCTGACTGATTATTTCAGTGGGAACAGAAGCTAAGATAGAGCATGTTTTTAAATCAAGCTCCAGAGGGTAAATCTAAAATTGTTGTTTCTTCCAGTGATTTTACTAAATAAAATGTATTCCCTGTCATGCCATTGGATTTACCAAAGCTTTTCTAATTCTCTAATTTTCTCCAGCACTGAAGATGTGGCCTACTGCTGTCATTTTGTCACATATAGGACTATCTCATCACTCAGAAATAACAATAAGGTCAAGGTTCATGATGCGATTCTAAACATATCTGGGTTACAGGTGCCCTATGAAGAAGCAACTCCACAACTCCAAGGGAAGAGCAAGCCCAGTCCCCACACCTAAACAGGAGCAGGCAATTTCAGTTCTCCAACTGCTCATATGCACAATCTGAGAGTCTCCAAAAAGCTGCCCTCTAACTTACCTTCCACAAAGTTTCTGTCCAAGTCAGAGCTGATGGTCTCAGAAGATGAATGGTGGTCTTTCAATAGAGCAGGGCCACCAGCATCTCTGTGCCTAGGGCTCCCACCTCTGTGCCACTGCCATGTGCTGAGGAGCTCAGCCCCAGCTCCTTCCTCCTGCCTGAGCTGGGTCTAATGTGGTAGGTCTACCTCTGACCAAGAGACTTGCCAGGCTGATCTGGGCCTGCTTCATCACCTCTCCTTGTCCAATCACTGCTGGGCTGTTGCCAAAACTGGTTACTGTCACCAAACTGGCTTTGTTTGGGCTTATCTGACCAAAACACTTGAGTAACACAGTAAGTGAAATCTCAGACTGACTGAGTCGCCCATCACTGCTTCACTCAGTCCACTCTATGCTCCACACTGTCAAACTGCTCCAGCAGCAGAGCTGCCTTGTTCAAAAAGCAGCTACTTCTGCAGCCTCTGCATGCTAACAAAGATGACCAAGCCTTGTCTGGGCTCCAAAACAAACCATGGTTCCATGTACCAAGGAGTAAAATAGAGATACTGATCCTCCTGCCTAATAATTTTACAGAGAACTTCAGCGTGTCTACTTTGAAGCTAGAAGTTATGCTTAAGATAAAGACACTTTTCTGACTAAAGAGGCGAATGTCTTTTGGATGAAACGTGTTAAGTCTTCCATTCTTTGTTAACTAGCACAGCTTGAAGACTTGCCCATATGTCTCTGCCAATGATTAGTTTACTCAGCATGTGGATGTACCAGATTTTCAGACTGAATGATACATATTCCACAACGAGCAAGTTTCACTGACTTAAGCAGAATTATTTGCAAATATAACACTATTCAATTAAATAATTGCAAAAGTCTGATTCTAACCAAACAAATCACATTTTTTTACACCAGAAACAAGCAGTTAAGTTAAACAGGAGAACACACAAAATAGGAAAATTCTAACAAAGTGGTTTGGGAAAACAGGAATTTAAATTGGCCATTAATTTAACTACACCTATTGAAGATGTGTTGCTTTCAGAGAGACAGTATCTGTTCTTTCTTATTTTCATCATCTTGAAGTGTAGATAGCATTTAATTACTTTGATATGTGATGGACAAAGAAACATTACAGCAATAAAAATATATAAAAAAATAACTTAATTTTAACTTGTAGAAATGCATGAATTGCATCGGCTAAGAGTTGACCCTGGGGTCCATGAGTAAATGGCCATTTGATGCACTGGAATGGTTTCCCATGCCCTATGCATGCATATGTAGCTGTCAGAGCTAGCTCAGTTGTCGTCTTATAACTGCAGAGATCCTCCTCCTGGGCTCGCTGAGTGAAGCTGCCCTCCCTCTTGGAGGATGTGATGGGGTTAGAGCTGGCAAGCACACACTGCCACTGCTGTTACGCTTACCGGAGGTGGGTGCCTTCACAGCTCTTGAAATACCAAACTGTCCAGAGAGATTGATTTCCTTCCCAGTGCTGAGGCTAGAGCGGCTTTTCTGTCCATAATCAGTGAGCAGGGCAGCAGAGGAGGTTAGGCTGCCCTGAGCCAGGGAACACAGTGATAATGGGAAATTTCCACTGAGTTTTTTTAGTTCCAGTACTTGTTCCCTGGCTTGAGTCAAAGCTGCAGTCAGCTCATAGCGTTCCTCACACTCTCTGCGCACCGTTTCCTGGAGAAGAGTGTTCTGCAAACAGAAACAAACACTGGCTTTACAAAATGCCATTAGTCAAAAGCTGGGCCTATTCATCTCCTTGGGCTTAAGACAGGGGTGGCTGGAGGGTAATGATGCACACAAATCTTTCAACGCTTCTCCATATTTTGGTTTTTCTGAAAGTCACTCAAAGGACATACATCAGCATTTACACACCCTTCATTCCCTCAGGAGACAGTGGAAAATATGAGGCAAGTTATCAGAAGTTACTTCTGATATCCTGCCCGTCCTCCAGCAAGGGGGAAACTGGGAATTCTGCTCTTGGAAAGAAAAAAGCAACAGACAGAGGTCAAGTGTTACTGCGCCACTTTGTTATGATAAGGTGTCCAAGAAGTTATCCTCCTCTGTAGTTTAAATAATTGTGCACCTATTTTTGTGATGGCATTCTTTATTGATTATTATTTCTCATATAATTGGGATGAATAATTTTTAGTCCAGTGGTTTTCACAAACTGTACACTTTGATTCCCAATACCTAAATGGTGACTGGTACTGGGCCTAAAGCAGACAATTTAAACTGTTGCAGTATTACAGAAATCCACAGATTTGTATATTGTGTGGATCTTATTTGTGATGTTGGTTTTCCTGAAAAATTAATTTTCCAGCTGCAAAAAGCAAGCAAAGCACAAGGGACAACATCACTAAATTGAGTCATAAAAGTCTACTATTGTCTACTGCTGATAGTACTAATACAAAGAGAAAATAAACTTTTTTGTTCTTCAAATCAAGCAATTGTTGCTGACACCAGAAGGTTCATGAGAATGAAAGGGAAACAACCACCAAGACAGTCTCCAGCAGAGAGTGATGATCAAGTTGTGCAGAGAACACCCTCAGTCATGCACAACCTCATTGCATGGACACAAGCTTTTCTATCTAAACCTCTTCAGTGCTAAGAGGATTAAATGGATGCATAATGAAGATAACCAGAGCCAGGGAATCTCGTGATGACTGACAACAGTGTGTTCCTTACTCTGCTGAAATTCCTGACCAATACTTGAAGAGCACGTGCCTTTCCAAGAGCCTTTTCCATAGGTACAGGACAGAATGTACCTGCATTCACTCTATATCAGTGTAATTTCACTAACAGTGTTTCTGAAACTTTTTCAAGGAATAAATAAATATCAACCCAAGCCCTAAATTAATTTTGAAGAGTTTTATTTTCATTGTTTACCTTTTTTTTTTTTCCTGCCACTTTGGACATTCCAGTCTAATCTTATCTACAGTCCCTGACTTCACTGTTTTCACATTTCTCATAGAGCAGCGCAGTTCTCTGCTTCCTTCCCATTATATTACAGACATTCAGCAAATGATTGTGATAAGAATATCCATCAATCAAACTTCTCTTCACTTTTCATTCTTTTCATGCATTCCTGTAAGAGAAAGTGTCTTTACTGGTGGGAGGTGGAATACATCCCTGTTAGCACACAGGACGCACACACATACTCCCACATTAGACAATTCAGTCTCTGTCCCAGATGCCATTCAGAACTGTATTGATTGTACGAAGGTTTTCCTTACAAATGATTTTCAAAATAAGCAGGATTATTACTGGAAGGATAGATTGCTGCTGTTTCATTCTAAGAATGAAAAATGTCCATGTCTTTTACTTTAAAAACATGAAGAACACTTTATTGTTGACTCATGTTTACGTAGCATGATGTGAGGCTAGAGATTAAGAAATAAATGTCTTGCAGGACCTGAGAAATAGATATATATATTTTAAATAAACCACTACATTTAATTCAGCAGGCACTTAAAATTTCACATATATTGTGATAAATCATATTTATGAAATTATGATGGACTTGTTTTATAAATAGTTTAACTTCAATGGTTTTTAAATCAGCACATTAACAGGGTCTGAAATACAGATACTTCGAATGATTTTAGAAATCACATGTCTAAGTAAAAACAGCAAAGCATTTCCTTGGTCATGTTCCTACCTCTTCTTGAACTTGACTCAGATTGTGAATCAGCTGTGTCCTCTCCTGGGTTAATTTTTCCAGTTCACCTGACTTGTGTTTAATTTCTTTTCTCATACTATCCAGAAATGATTCATTACTGTTCTTTTCCATCGATAACTGAAATTCAAGTTCAGTAATTAGTCTTTTAAGGCTCTCAATTTCATTTTCCTTCTCTTCATCTTTCTCTGTAAGTTTGATCTGGGCATCTTGTAGCTTCTTTTCAAGAATTTCTGTCTCCATCCGTAAGTTGTTGGTAGCACTGGATATTAAACCTGGAATCTGCGTTAGATAAACAAAAATTACATTCAGGGGATATCTTTCCATATGTAGAATTAAGTGTCAGACAAATGTTGATCTCAAGAGATAAAAAAAATAGAAATGCAAACATACATGTCCTCAGAGACAAAAACAAAAATTGCTTTGAATTTACATAATACCCTCAAAGGATATCAAAGAGCCATAAATGAGTCAAAACTCACTCAGACCAGAGAGATTAAGTAGTATGTCCAAAATCAAACACAGAAATAGAGGTGAAAGTGTGAAAACTTAATTTCTTTACTGCAAGTATTTCGTCAGGGTTTTAAAATCACAGTCAAGTATTTGTAAAGTGAACTACGCCAAACTGTTACTTTCAGCTCCATAAAACACTAACACATTTTAAATAACAACATATTTCATCAAGTTTCTTTGATTTTATTTTTTCCAGAATTTTCAAGAAATCTTTTGAAACCAAGGTAAGATTTTCAATTTCTATATATCACTTTTTTTAAAAAAAGAAAAAACCCCAAAGAAATATATGCCATATACAAAGGCTTGGAAAAAAATCTTCTATCATCTAGAAAAAGGACTAAAGAAGGCTTTATTACTTCACATGTCATTTTTCAATTGTTTATATTATCTACTGCCACAAAACTTTTCTCATGAGTGTTACACACCTTCTTCTGGAGCTCTTCATGATCTCTCTGATATTTGGCGATCAGTTCTTGCTGCTTTTGTCTCTCAATGTCTATTTCCACTCTTGCTTCTTCCTTGACTTTAAGAATTGCTTCTTTGTGTTGTGCTTCACCTTTAGCCAGATCATTTTCCATCTAGGCAAGAAGTGTTTTTTAACAATATGTAGCAACTTGTCTTGAAATACTTTTCACATTCCATACTCCTATCAATGAAGTGATGTGAAATTTGGCAGACTTAAGATTTGGGGCACTGAAGAAACAACATTAAACGATTGCAACATTGGAGCCTGGTGAGGGAAAGCTCCTACTTCTCACTGGCTCACAGCTGCATGGATGGCTCCTGCTTTGCAGAGCACCAGGGCTGAGTCACAGCCAGCAGCCCCATAAGATGTCTCACAAGCCCCATGGTGTCTCAAGTGGTACTAGATGCCTAAATTTAGGCAGCTGAACTTCACGCTAAATCACTATGAAAATACCAAATTACAAAATTGTTAGCTGGTTCTTAACATAGATGATTATTTTGCTGGATGCATTCCCTCTGGAGGTAAAACTCGGCTCATTATTTTCAAATGCAGCACGATGATACAATTCACAGTATCTAACATCTACTGTACTAAAAACTGGTCATGAAATGTCAAGACCCATTCCCAAACAGTCGGTCTTTAAACAAGCTTAATATTAAAGATGATAACTCTTCCTTATAAAATCATTTTTTATTCTTGCTTTACCATTCAGCCTCCCAGGGACCACACTCAGATGATACATACTCCACATGTACTACCTTGCACTTTAGAAGAGCAGTGCACATCTAAAAAAAATTAGCTAGCACCATGTTCCTACTTTATAACATGTCCCACTTCTAAAACCATTGTAAATACCAGAAATCCAGGGGAAGGAGCATGCTGAGGGATCCCATGGATGATGTAGTGGGACGCCTGCCTCTCCAAACATCACCAACAGCACACGCAGCTGCTTCTGCTAGCCCAGTTGCCAAGCCAGGGTTCCAGGAGCAGCAAGGCTCCACAGTGCAAGATCAGCAACAAGCAGCTCCAGCTTGTTTTAGGGTCCAGACAACACCATACTGATGGTATGTATGTGGGATAAGCTCTGGACCAAAAAGTCAAGAAATAAATGTGAAAGAGTTGCAAATTCTGGGTAAAATCCTAGAATTAAATATCCCGGTCCTTGAAGTATCTCACACATTTAATATTATAAATGCAAATTTGAAAATTCAGCCATAATTTCCTGAAAATAAAAGCCTGGATTGTGGAGTAAATACTGAAGGCTATATTTTGAAAAGTATTTTTCCTAAATCACTATGTTAATATTTAATTTCTGCATGCTGAACTCTAATGGACTTAATTGTAACACAAAAAAATATATGAAAGGCACATTAATGCACAACACTAGTCTAATTACTTAGATTTTTAAAAAGCAGAAAAGCCCAGAATAAGCTTAATTACAATTATCTAATTTCACACACTAATTATGAGCAAAAGCATAACAAATTCCCCTAACTCTTTTTTGGGAAAAGAGAAATTGGAAATATTTTCATTATTTTTTTATATAAAAATATACCCAAATTCTGGGCATGGAATAGGCACAAATCCCCCACTAAAGTTTAGCTTAAAATTAGTATATTTGTAAGATCCTAAACGTATACTATTATTGTTATTGTTATTATTATCGTAGATGCATTTTCTACATTATGAGATATGGAAGTTAGGATTCTAATTCTAGAAAACCTAATTTATTAACTCTACTTACTATTATAGAAATGGATCATATGTTGGAAGCTATTTGATTAAAAAGACTAAAAAAATGAAGGCAGTATAAAAGACCTGAGGTAATTTTGAAGATTATACAAGCATTTTTCACATTTAGCATTTGAACCTAATAAAGTTGATAAACTTTAGGAAAAAACATGGCAGCTGATCTTCAAAGAAAACATAATGCCCACTAATTGCTTTAAAATCACATGTCCATCATTCATTAATATTAAAAAACATCCGTAAAATTAATGTTGACATCAACATGAAAATCTTTTGTAAAAGAGATTTTTGTTGTTGTTCAGTTTAAGGTTTATGTGTATTTTAAATGGAAAACTGGAACACTTTATACTGATGCAATGGATGACTCAAGACAAAGATAACTGTTACTTTGTCACATTTGTAACTCTTTTCTCCGATGAGAACATTTCTAGAGCACTTGCTGTTCAAAGCATTTTAATGGCTGTAATAACAAAGTTGTAATTGCTTGCTCTTACTAGCAGCAGTCTTTATCTTGTTTTAATGTCAGGCTGAAACAATACGTTGTGGTTATGCAGAGAATGTGATCTCATTCTAAAATTATATCTTGTGACAGAAAGGTTAAGGAGTTTTAAAAGAAGTGTAACTGATCTTAATTGCTAGTAGTCGAAAAAAACTCCAGAGACTAAACAAAGCTTTCAGACGCTTATCATGTACTTAACAAAAAAGAAAAAGACAGCAATTTTAGTCACCAGTTATGTAAGGCTTAAATCAGAGAAGTCAGTTATTGTTCAACACTGTTTTCAATTTCTCCTTCGAAGTTTGGTGCTTGGGGGGGGGGTGGGGGTGATTTGTTTGTTTGTTTTTCTTGTATTCAATTTGGGTTGGCTTCTTTTGTTCTTTTTTTTTTTTTTTTTTTTGCGGTGCTAGTGTGAAAAAATTGCAGATTAAAACACAGTTTACATGCTGTTGTGGTTTAACCCCAGCCAGACAGCTTTTCACTCACTCCCCCCCTTCCTGCCCTCCCCCTGTTCCTGGAGGGATGGAGAGGAGAATCATAAAGAATGCAACTCCCACTGGTTGAGATAAGAAGTTTAGTAACTAAGGTATAACACAAATCACTACTGCTACCACCAATAATGATAAAGGAAATAACAAGGGAAGAGAATACAACACCTCACCACCAGGTGACTGATAACTTGCTCCCCCCAGCCCGACCAAGCACCGACTGATACCTCCTCCAACCCTGCAGTCCACCTGCCCTTCCGGGTAACTCCCAGTTACATCCTGGGCATGACGTGCTGTGGTATGGGATACCTCTTTGCTCAGTTTGGGTCAGGTGTCCTGTCTCTGATTCCTCCCAGCTTCCTTCCTCCCTGGCAGAGCATGAGGCTCACAAAGTCCTTGGCCAAACCAAAATATCATTGTTATCAGCTCTGTTCCCAGCTGAAAGTCAAAACACAGCACTGCACCAGCTACCAAGAAAGAGAAAAATGACTGCTACTGCTGAACCCAGGCCAGATGCTCACAGTTGTTCACAGCAAACCACTTTCCAAAGCCCACTGAAACACACTGGCAGCTGGATGCTCCAATCCCAGTTAGAATCTCCAGCTCAGAGCTTCACAGCATGACCAGACACTCCAAGAAAAAGCTACCTACCCTGCAGAGCAGATCCAGAGGTCCTGATTCCTGAGATCATTGTTCGGCAGCAGAGCTGCTCAAAGCCCAGTGTAAATGAGGAGCTGTAGCATTGCCAGATTCCGACTAGCTGTTCAACTAAGAAACCTATCCAACTAGCACAGACAGTGGGCATATACATATAGTTTTTAAATCAGCTGAAAATATTTTTCCACAGAAGACCCCAAACCCAGTACATACTAAAAGATGACTAACAGATTATGACCTAACATTGTAGAATGTAAAGGTATCAGTTAAAGATGCAACTAGCAGTGGGAAACCTGTCTAAGAAGAAAATACATGTTAACAGGAGCTCATGCTTGTGGAGCAGCACTGTGTAATGCATGCAGCACCAGCATGGCCACAGCGAGGTGCCCTGAGGGCAGGCGTGCAGCTGAGGTGCTGCCCTATGCCTGAACTGCTTTCTCAATATTGCTTCCTTCATCCATGGACCAGGACCAGACCTAATCTCTATTGCACTTGTTACACCCTAATCAAGCCAGTTTCCCCTAAATCTGGGGAGTCATCCTGGCTGTATTTTAACCCCACTTTGCATCTGTAGCCTTTACTTGATTTTTTTTCTTCACTCCATTACATAAAGGAAAAATGAGCATGTATAAAGGAGCATGCACGTATGGAAGGTGTATCATTCTCCCTCTCACCTTCCCCTTTCTCCTCACTGTGAAAGGAGCCGTTGTCCAATTACTGAAAGAGTCTAGGTGGCAAGGTGTATGAAAATGGCTTTGCAATCATTTGTGAGAGTCAATGGATAAAATAACAAAGGATTGTTCATTTCATGGAGAAGCCAAGTCGTAGGAGTGCCAAGTCTTTTCAAATTAAATACAGAGGTATTTTCCATAGTAAATTTCACAAAGTCTTTATTTTCATACTGCTCTGACTTGAAGGGAAGGCAAGTAAAAAACCTCAGCAGATTAGTTAGGAGTAGCCTATGTGGCAGAGACATGACTGCCTCAAAGGAGCCAGTGATGTTAGAGGTTATCAGAAAGAGTAGAAGCCTTTCTCACCCTGCAGGTCCATTCTAGCACTGGGACTTTCACTGTGAACTCTTTTTATCTCTTTGGCACGTGGGCCCCCAACTCAAGTGAATGAATGAACCACGTGCCGTCTTTCTGCTACCACTTCCCCCTGCCCAATTTCCCAGTCTGACCATGCTCCTCCAGGTACCCACTGCGCTCCTCAGCTTCCTCCCCATGCCCCCATCACAGCTGATGGTCAGCAGTACCTAACTTCTGCTGAGGCTCCCATGCTGTAATCAACCACACACCCACCAATCCAATACCCATCTACCTCAGAGTTGTTTGCTCAGCCTGTGGGCATGCAGAGCCTGCCAGATCAGGTAGGACAAGGTGCCTCTCAACCACTAGGCAGGGAGACTGCTTGGAAGGGCACACATACCTCAAACCCCAGGTTGCACCTCTGTGCCCCTGGGCTGACAGCAATGCTTGCTGCGGGTACTTCAGATTCCAAGCTAGATGACACTGGGGCTGTCATTTTCCTCTCTGTACATGTGGGGACTTGTGTTGACACCAGTGGGAACTACAGGTTCATAGCAAAACAGCAAACAAATTTTATGTTCGCAGTAAAGTTTGAAAGGGTAAAACTGTCATTTTACTGCTTCACTTGCCTATTGCCATGGTAGACTCATTTTAAGAGATGGCATCAACACATATCCTGCATAGAGGCTTACCTAAATACCAGGCAGGGTATCCACACACTTCTTGCCTTCCTCATCAGCTGTACCGCTAACAGCTCCACTGCCTTTTGCTATTTGACAGCTCCTGATAGCTCCATAATTGCTGTGCTACCACAGCTTGTTAAGCTCTGCTTTGGTTTGCAAATACATGCCTTCTAAGGAAAGGACATTTTTGTTCATCTGTTTATTATTTATTTTATAAATTTAAAAAAAAATAGCAATATTGCATTTCAGTTCACCTAAGATACAAGAAGGAAGGCCCCATGTTCTTTCCATCATGTCAGCAATGCCAAACTTTGTTTTTATTGGGAACCTACTTCAGTATTAAATACATGCTTTCCTACACTTCTCTTCCAGGTATGTCAAGAAACAAATCCAGGCACTGATGTGATTCCCATGCATAACTGTGGTTCAGAGTTTGTAACCCAGACTGCTCTACACACCTCCTCAGAGCTTCTGCAGGACAACAGCCCATGAGACTGGGCTTTCCCTCTTGCACCCTCTCCTGCAGAGCACACAGGGAAAGGACAGAGCTGGAAGATCAGGGGGACTGCACTGTTAACACAGACACTTCACAAATACCCTGAAATCTGGGAATTTGCAGATCAGACCTCATCAGACCTGAACACCTGCCAAGTCTGTAAACACTCATACTAAATACCTTTCACATTCAGTTCCAATCTATGTAGAGAGATCAGCCATTAAAACCTCTTGTACAAAGAATACTATTTACATGCTTGCACTTGCAGAGACAGCTATCTGGCTTACTGTACTCATTTGTGACAGCTGACTACAACTGGAAAAAAGAAAAAAGAAATTTAAACTGCACATCCAGTATTACCTTCTCCCTCCAGTTATCTTCATTCCGCATCTTCTGTCTTAATGCTACCTGCAGCTGCTCCGTTCTGTTCTGATGAGAAATCAGCATTAACTCCCTAGAAACCACAAAAACTCATATGTAAATATGTGCTCTGCACAGATTGGTGGTATGCCATTTTCTTGCAATTAAGTCCTTTGTGGCAAAGGCTTGTCTTTTCCTCTTTGTTTAGTATTCTGTGAAATAAGCCCAGGAACTCTGCCTGGAGCCCAGAGGCACAGCAGTAATCACTACTTAGCATCTGCATAATGCCATCACATGCCTTATGAATTTTACACTTTATAGAAAACACTATAGTTGATCTTTCTTACATGCACACATATTTAAAACTCAAATAGTTTTAGTATTTCTCAAGTCAAATTTTGAAGGACACTGAAAAACTGCTAAGATATTCAGAAGATGTTTTATTTAACAAACCCAGACTATTACTATCATTAATTATAAAAAAGTGATAGGTTTTGAATTAAAACCACTAAGTGTTTTCTATTGTTAGAGTTACATTTTGTTAAGCCAGGCTTGTAGAGCAAAAGCTTGTGAGAGTCTAAATTCTTGTAACTTAGATTATTAGCAATGTACTGACTGGAACAACTCATGTATCTCTGGTTTAAGTAGAAGGGAAATACTCTTAAATTAACATGTAATATCTTTTCAGGCAGGTACTGAAGTACAGGGAATGTTCAAACTCTTTAAATATGAAAGTAGCTTAATGCCTCTTGGTGTACATCACTCTCAGAAAATGCTTATCTTCTCCAAAAGCCACTTCTTCATTGTACGCAAAACACATAAAGTACTGCCATGTCTTAAGCAGGGACAGCACTTTCTCTTTTGCCAACAAAAGACAAGCTAATTTATCAGTAACTGAAAATTTAGTAGCAGGATACTTTAAAATGGTAAAAACAAGTCTGTGGTTGTCAGAAATAAAACTGGGTATACAGATTACACTCAAAGCAATTAAAAAATATGGATTTAGGCTGCTAAGTGCAGATGTCTAAAACAAAGGCACTCAACTAGACGCTGTGCCAAAACAATCCTCAGAAGCTCAGTGCTTTGTTTTCCACTTCTGAAAAGTAATTACAGGGAAAATGGCAGCTTCATTGATATCTGAGAACCTTCCAAATATTACCATACTGGTGGGAAGTCTGTACACTTATCAAATATTAGACCATATCCAATAACCTGGGATATACTAATATTTATAGCATTGTTATGGTTTGCAACTTGCTAAGAATGTAAGTTACAGTAATTTAAACTACCTGGGACTCTTGCTCTACAAGCCTTATGTAACAAATAGCAACTATAAAGACTGCAATAAAGGGGTGTTTTGATTAAGCTTAACCGCAAAGCAAAGCTTTCCCATCCTTCACCTCCCCCCCCATTTTTTTTGTTTAATTTCTTTTTTTTTCATTCAGGTTTTCTCTATATTCTAATAATTTAAAAAATCCACCTGATGAATTCCAAAATTCCATATTATTATGGATATGAGGCCAGGGCTGCCAAGGCTTTTAAAGATCAGGAGATGAGAGAGGGTAGAGGCAGGGCAGGACTGTCCTGCGCACACAAGCAAGGCACCACAAAGCTGGGAGCAGCAGGTCTCTCCCAGCCTGCCTAGTGCCAGAGCCACTCTCCTCATTCTGCCGCTTCTCCTGCAGCCTGACTGGCATGAACCACCTCAGTACTTTACAGAACCTCTGGCCTTTCAGTAACCGTGAGAGAGGTGCAGGATCTGCCAGAGGAGGAATGCTTTATTTTCAATAGATTTCCAGAAAGAGTCTGAGGAGATTACCCATGGTGACTCCAATCTGATTACCTTTCTTGTTTCAACATCACTACCTCTTCCTCTGTTTGTCTAAGAAGAGCTTTAAGGGCTTCCAGCTCACTTTCTAATCGACCAGTTCTTCTTTTTAGATCTTCTTCTTTTCTTTCTTTCTCAGCCATTTCTTCCTGTAAATGTTTGCATACTTGTTGGCAAATTAGAAAAGATTCCTCCTTTTCCTTGAGCTCTTTTGTAAGCCTACAGATAAAATAATAAACTATCAGCATTGTAGTTACTATATTCTTATTTACAGACAGAAACTAAATACAGAAGTAATTTGAACCTGGAAAATAAAATATTAGACAAAAACCTATGTTTCCTTACGAAGCTAAATCTAGGGACTTGAACACAAAAATTGAGAAAAAAGTGTATAAAAACTGCACTAAAATAATACAAGTTTTGTTCCCACTGCTCAAACACGTATGTTATGAAATATAATTTCAGCATTTACCTTGACTCAGAAATTCCATTTTCGTATTTAATTTTTTTCAGTTCATTTTGACAGACATCAAGTTCCGTTGATTTCACCCTAAAACATTAAAAAATATGCATTGTCCAAAGAAATGATAGCCTTTACTCATGCAGCAACCTGAACATCATTTACTGACGTATGATCTAACTTGCATTTTCTATTTCAGTTAAAAGGCAAACAAGAAACAAAAAGTTCTTCCGGTTTTAGCTAACATTTTTAAGGAAATTGGAAGTTACACTTCCAATATAATCTCAGCCTAACCTAGGATCACAGCAAGTTTAATGCTGCAAATAAGGAAGTGAGATATTGCTTGAAACTCTTATCACTGTTGCAAGATATAAATAAAAATGAACAAACAACAAATGAGTAAGAGGGCTGGAAACTCTGCACATTCCTTGTCATTATGTCATAATTTCACCAATTAATAACCATGGTTAAGCTTCATATTTACATTTAAACAGATATATAATATGTTATTTTATTAAACTGTACCCATATTACATTCAAATTTTAATATTACATTTGGAAACCCTTTACTGTTTATTTAACTGTGTTCATGAAATCTTTTTCTCATACCCAATATTTGTATTATCATTAAAATACTTTGTTGCTAAGCATCCAAAATATTTGCAACTTCATTACAGTCAGACCCTCTGAACATAGGGACCAAAATCAGAAAGTACACATCATGAACGAATGAATCCTTGTTTAAATTTCAGGAAGACACACAAAAAGACCGATGACAGCTGGTCTCAAAATTGGCAGTAGTAGCTCATTACTCTTGAGTTTAATGTTTGAAACAATAATTTTTATTATCAGTAGTGAATTACAAGGTGTTACAAAGTGAATTATAAAGTCCTGCTGTTTCTGAATTATTTTCCATGCTACATGCAAGCAACAAGGATTTGAAATACAGGAATGCATGCAGTCCTGGGTCCGCAACTTTTAGAGGTGACAACATGGTTCCCACTGAGCACTACTGAGTCTGGATGTGACCCTGGAGGTCATGTGGCCTGATTTTGGGTCCCTAATGCAGTTCCCAGCTGAAAGGAATGCAGCAACTTCATTGCTTGGCCATTGAAACAGTAACCCAGAACAGTGTGCAACAGCACAATAACAACACAAGAAGAGGTGCATCTTTTTTCCTATTTCTTCAAGTTTTGACAGAGGACTTATTTTTGCTCTTCCCTTAATTTGTGGGCAGAAGAAGCAGCATCTAAAATCAGTATGGACTGTTGCAGTCACTACCGTGGGCACTGCTCCTTTCAGGTGGGCTGAAGACAGAGTAAGTTGAGTTTTTGCACTCTGTGTACTTGAGTGATCTCTCCTCAGTTATCACACTTCAGTTAGCTCTGACAAGTATTTGATGACTATTTTTGCTCTATTAATTTAGGCTTTACACACTCTACTTGAAACTATAGGCACAATATAGTAAAATTACAAATGACAATAGCACACTGGTGAATGGGAAAATGTCCCAGCAAGTTTACCCTGAAGGTGGGAGGGTACGAATAAAAAAAAGAAATCATAGTAACTGACTAAATACTAAAATTTCTGATTAGTTTCATTGCACACTTCCCTCCATCCCAAAATTCTAACGTGAAACATTACTTTCCACATATATTTTTAGGCCTGAAGTTATATGTATTTCACAAAACGTATCCTACACTTTTGTGTTAAATGAAGTGTTGGATTAAGCTTACTTAACTTTCCTCTTCGCTGTATCGTTAAACAGAGCTGGAGGAAGAAAGCCCTGCTTCCAGAGACAGATGTGCTCAGTCAGGTGGTTAGAAATATAGACCATTTAATATGAAAATAAACTATCTTCTCTGTTGGTTATAACCTTCTTAAATCATCATGACGAGCAGTGGTCTCTGAAAAAAAGTTGTCTGTTACAGTTTTACGTGCAGTGGCAAAACAATGAAGCAAATGGAAATCTTACATTAACAGCTTTTTGTAGTGGTCCATCTCGGCTGTTACTTTCTGCAGCTTCAATCCAATTGTCTCTACCTGATTTGTTAAATCTGAAAGCAAAAACATGGGTTTCATGCCTTTATTCATATTAAAATAATTCACTTTTATACATAGTGTGCTCTATTTGCATCTCAGATGTGTAGCTCCTCACTCCCACCCGAAAAAAGAAAGATAGTACATCATAGAACTGCCTCTCAACAATGCAAAATGGCCATCTGTGAGAAGTATGGCTTTATGATTTGTAACATCTGGATTGATTTCTCACTGCTTACAAATCATATAAGCTAGTTGTTTATTTTCTTAACAGTAACAAATCACTTATCACAAAGGCTGGAATGCTATTGTGCCACTTCAGAACAGTCTTCCAATCTCTATACGTACACTTGCTTGATAGCAAGAAGCTGGTTTTGTTTGTTTGGGGGTTTCTATCCTACCAGGAAACATAAAACTCAACTAAAAGTAAATATGAAATGTTTTAAATCACAGGGTTTGTATACATAATGGTGAGAGTAAAAAGCATGCAGGAAAGTGAACCTGAAAATAACCTCTTAATGCTACTTCATAGAGAACACTGACACTGAATTAATGGTTCTATATATTTTGTCTTGTACTCTTTTAGCTGAGTGTTATCTTTCAGCGCACACCGCCCATCAGTTTCAGTCAACCATTGCCTTTTTTTTCTGGAATATATCCCAGTTTTTTTTTCATCTGTACAATTAGTTTATCATTCCCCTCCCCCTCCCCGCCGCAATAAAACTTCCAAAGAAGATACTGAGCAAAGATAAAAGCACTATTACATTTATCACTCCTTCTGCACAGTCTCAGGGTTGTAAATGAAGGAGTGACAAATTTACAATAAAACACTGTAACAAATCTAGAAGTGGAAGAAAAAAATACTTTCCCTCAATATGTGATAGCAAATAAATGAGCTGATTTCCCCTCTGAAGGTAAACAGCTAAAAAGAGTCCAACCTCTCCATCTTTAAAGCTCTCTGATATGTGCTGTAAAAAGCCAAACCTAATTGTGATTCCTGTTCTTAGAATTATCATTTCCGACATCAGAATTCACTGAATTTTTGTAACTTTTCCTATGTGTCTATTTCGGTCATTTCCAGCAACTGCCAAAATGATGGGTAATCCCAGAATGGGATTTCCTGACATATCACACCTTACCTTGCTAAACCCTACTACATGAAAGATCCCTGTATTTTCAATAAAAGGAAAGCTGTTCATTTTCTCACACTACAACAGCAATAGCAAAAAAACCCAGGAGAGAACTGTATACGGTAAAGTACACACCACCTGCCAGATCCATTCCCAAAATACCAGCATTTATAAAGAGCTTTTCTAAGATAAATTTAAAATTTCCATGGGCTTGACTAAACCCTTGCAAAAGTTGGTGGAAATTAATTATAGAAGCACCATCAATACACACAAATAAAATCTATTTTTGTATAATATACCATTGCCACTGCCACATTTCAGCCATAAAAACATTAATGCAGTCCTGTATGATTTTTGCAATTGTTAACAGACATTGCTGTATCACTAATCTTTTAACATGAAAACAGCCTCTACTCAGATTCACACCAGAGTCTACATAACTAAATGAGCACATAGAAAAGTGTAAGTAGATATTAAAGGAAAAAAACATTTTAATAAATGAGAATGGATGCACACAGAGCACTCGCTCATTACAAGCCCTGATCAACAGAAGCGAATGGACCTGGGCACTAAAAATGTTCCTGGGTTTATCTGTTCAGGTTTCTTCTACCACACAGGGGATGCTGATAGCACTCTTTGCTGGGTACATTGTGAGCTGCCTCAGACTGATGTCACCCAAGTTTATTTTTCCTCTCCTTGAAACAGCTCAACCCACTCCACAGAACACGAGAGGCAGACAACGCGATTTTTTAACAGTTTGAAAAGAATATTATTGCTGGGAAGAAGTAAAAAGTGTGTTTAATCACCATGTATAGCTTCTATCAGTATCACTCTGAAAAATCCAAGTGTTGCGTGAGAACCGACAATTAGAGGGGAGGTCTAAAATTATTCACTTCCAGTCATCATTCTTTGTATTTTTCTAATGCTTTTGCAGGGTATTAACTCACAAAATGTTAACACTGCAAAATGAAAAATGGCAAATGCTGAATTAAAAATGGCAAGTGGTAATTCACATGGAATTTTTCTTGCCCTGAATTTGGAAATCCAAGAGTCCACAATCATATACTGTCCTTAATCCCATCACAACAACCTCATCCACAAAGGAAAAAAAGCAAAACACAATAAACCAACAAACACCCTCCCCACTCCCCCCCCAGTATTCTTGAGATTATGCAAGTAATTTATCTCACACACAAACACAGGTGAAAGCCCCATGAGAAAAACTCAGACTGTGAAATGCTTTCCAATGGAAAAAGCGTCCCCTTCAAGAACAGTGAGCCCTCTCAGCCTGGAAAGCAGACTTTTTTTCTTTTTTCCCCCCTCAGAGGTTCTGCTTCATCATATTCATTCTGTACCCTATTTTCCATTCCAGGGATGATTATATTTGAAGTAGTCTATTTTCTCATGTTGCCATCCAGGTCTCCAAAAATACATCTTTTTATCAACCAAATTAACTGTCTCTTTCACCTCAAAGTATAGCAGGTGATGATTTATAAAAAAGTCACTACTATGGCAAAAGAACACAGCAGTGAATGAAGCAGCCAAGTGTACATGAAAATTCAATTTGTTTTGAAAGTGCAATATAAATTTGCTCAAATTTCTTTGCCCCTAAGAAGTATGGGATTTTCAGTCTCTATTTAAGACCTGTGACTATCACTGTGTGGCTGATACTCAAAAAAGAAAAAAACAAAACAAAACCAACCAGATTCAGGATAGCCTACTATTGAAATAAAAACATGACCTGAATCACTGGCCAGACAAAAACACAAGCTTACCTTTATTTCTGCCAATTTTTATGGATGCACCAGTACTTCTGCATTAAGCAGCAGAACACCACAAGCTCCCCACTTCCCCAGAGGTGAAGAGTAGGTTCTGTACAGAGACAGACAAAAGAACAGCAAGGATCTGCGTGGTTTGACTCGTATGGGCACACAGTTGGCTGGGGGAGAGCCAAGACCTCTCAGGAAAACTGTACTGATGCTGTCAAAAACACCGGTCTTGGCAGCAGCAGACAGAATAAAACACAGTGCAGCAACAGCCAAGCTAGGAGAGGCTTGAGGTGAAGGAGCAACAGTCAGCTCTAAGGAGGCATTCCTCCAAACATCACCTCCCTGACCACCATGCTCTGTGGCAGTAATCTGATTAACAGCACACACAGTTCTGCTGCAAGCTATTTAGCTAAAACTTGGTTCAACATTTTTTCATCAGCTCTCCCCATCCCTCCTTTCTCCATTATGACTATATGGTTTTTTGTGCAATGAGTTAAGCAATCAATAGCTTTGCAGACATTAGAAAGGAATTTTCCTGGAAACAATCAAATTGTTTCAGATTCTGCAGTTTTCAGCTTGATGGTAGTGCATGACCACAATAAATGGTGAGGGTAGTTCAACTGCTCGCCAAAACTTACAGTTTATATAGTGGTTTATAGTCTTTCGGTGCCCTCACTGTATTTCAGATTTGTGCCTGGAAGGCTAATCACATTTGCACTCAGTTTCATGTGAAAGAGCCACTGAGCTTCCATGTTTGCTGCTGAACAGAACTCATAAAGATAAATCACTGACAACTTCGGACTATTTAAAACCCATGTTTGTGTGATGATGCTGTTGCCAAAATTTCCTCTTGGCTGTTTTAAAGACTTCTCTGACAAACTCCCACTGTAATCAAAGCCATGCAGTTGCTATGTTATCTGTTATCTGTATCAAAAACTGCACAACAGATACTTGAACAAGCTTCAATGTTTCTGCTCAGAACTGGCATCTTCACCTTCTCTATAAATGGGAAGTTGTGGCCAAGTACAAAGGCAACAGCTGAGACCACCTGCAGTTACTTTTGTTTAGCTTCTTCAACTGGGCATTCTTCAGTAATGTATTGTTCTGTACACTTTTCCAAAGCTAAATAATTCAACCTTAATTTCCTGTCATTCATCCTGACATTGCCTTATGAAGTAAATGGCTCTGAATGCCTCCAGAAAAAGGAGAAACTTTGACTTCACACACCAAGCAGATGTTAAAACATGTGGGAACAATCTAACATTGACAACAGCAAGTTCTACTTCAATGTGACCGTTTTGTTAAAACAGATTAAGACCAAATTACTGTAGATCAGCACTACATAAAGGACAGCCCTTTGCCGTTCTTAGCATGGGGAAGACTGCTCCTGAGAAGATTTTTACAGGCATCTATTTTTGACAATTAAAAAAAAAAGTTATTATAGAAGATCTCTGACAATTATTAATAACTGTGGTCTTTTTCCTTCTTCTGAGACATGGAATATGGATGCAAGTTCTGGAATAAAGGAGAGGTATAATGCTTATTTTGGTTCTAGTACTTTGGGTGGTCTCTTTCAGCTCTGTTTCTTCTTTTACTCAATTTGTTTTGAGAAGTTTTCATAATGACTGAGCACTGGACAGTTTTTCATGAAGGAGTAGATGGATTCAATTATATGTCTGGTTTCTGAAAGTCTCTAGAGAGAGTTCCCACCAAAGTCAACAGGAGCTGGTTAGCAGAAAGTCTGAGGGATCAGACCCATAGCCACAGAGACTAAATAACACAGATTTCAATGAAGTTTGAAAGACATAGTAAAAATGAGGAAGCTAATAAGGAAAATGGTAACACAAATGGGAGCTTATGCTGAAAACTTGTTGAATAAAGAAAAATATAATTAAATGCTTACATAAAAGTGTTTTCCAGCAATAGAATAAAGCTTGTTGTGAAATACACAAAACCAAGAAAAAGCACTCACGCTCTTTAATACTGATACTCATTTTAAAGCCTTAAGTACCACATTTTGAAGAATAATCAGTCCAAATACATCTCAATATTATTCATGTTTAATTTTACTTATCTTTGCGATTCACAATGGATCTTGCCATAAACACAACAGCCAAC